CGTGTGTCAGCTGTGTGTGGCGTGTGTCAGCTGTGTGTGCGTGTGTCAGCTGTGTGTGCGTGTGTCAGCTGTGTGTGCGTGTGTCAGCTGTGTGTGCGTCTGTAAGCTGTGTGTGCGTGTGTCAGACGGAGGCACATTCATCATCAACTGTCCCCCGAATATCAGTTCTACTTCGAAACACACGCGTTGTAAGAAAAACAGGGGGTTCTGCACCGTGTACAATCAATCCTTCTACTATATATATAGCAGTCGGGATCGGACATGAACAAACGTCGCACACACCTATGATGATCGATGAAGGAAAAACCACTTAAAATAACCCCACATCTCATGGTCACAACCTCTCCCAACCCCTAACCCCACATCTCATGGTCACAACCTCCCCCACCCCCTAACCGGCCAGCTCATGGTCACAACCTCCCCCACCCCTAACCGGCCAGCTCATGGTCACAACCTCCCCCACCCCTAACTGGCCAGCTCATGGTCACAACCTACCCCCACCCCCTAACCGGCCAGCTCATGGTCACATACCTCCCCCCCACCCCTAACCGGCCAGCTCAGACATATCACGATGGCAATACCTTTGGCGTATCGATATATGTCATTACAGCTCATTCATAATTCATAAATATATATTTACCGACCATCCGATTGTAGTGTTGGCATAATGTAGGTCAGGTGCGGCGGTCGGGTAGAGAGTGCTATGCGGTTAATTGTTGCTGTTGCTTGTCGTCGGTCTAATGCGTCGGTATGCGGAGGTACACGTTAATTAGTCACCTGGTGTAAACGTAGCGATGGCAGCCGATGTGAACAAACAGTAGCACGCAGGAGCGATGTCTGCCCGTAGCAACAGCTCTCCACTATTTGTCTTCCCATCGGTAAATTACGGTATCGTTTCTTGCCCAACAAAGCAAGGAGCTAGGATACGCAGTAGTGTGATAGGATGACTGAATATTGTGTATAGCAACGGGACAATACNTTATTCAACTTTAAGCTACAGAACATCGGTGTTGATTTATTAGCTGAGAGACGAGTAGCAGGCAGGCACGGCGACCTATCGTCTGCTAGCGTTACATGCCGCTAATCACTATGACTCCGATAGCGCATCACAGGACAAAGCAGCTAATAAATGAACATGGTGACAAACGAAACATTTGCTGTGCACAACATGCAAGCAATATCTCACGTAACTAAGGGAGAAAGAACTTTTTATTGCATTGGTTATTATCCTGTTCTGTGTATAATTAATTCATGTTTACGACAGCGGCGCCGCAATATTGATATATTACTACAGAGTATGTATGTAATATATTTGATGGGGGATGAATATTGCATATTGCAACGGGACAATACGTGCTTGTCATGTTACTACCAAATGAGAAGTGGCAGCAGCAGGAAGAAGATGTATACGTCCACGTTAGCTGCTTTGCTTGGAGTTGCCTTGCTGAGCTGTGAAGCAACAGCGGTAAAGGAAGAGTACTTTACTCTGTACGCATCCGACACGGCCATTACTAGCAGCGTCATATCTACCTATGCTGCGAGCCATGTTCGCTGCACTGTTCAATGCATGGCAGATGGAAGCTGTGAAGGCTTCAACCTGCAGCAGACAGACACGGCTACTACATGTCAGCTCCTCTCCAACATTGCCCTGGATGCAACAAGCTGTGAGCCTACAGCTGCTACTGATGCTACGGATTCTGCTGCATACTTGGGGGAAAAGGTAAGCAATCGAGAGCACTCTTATATCATGTAGATGTAAAAACATTAGCATGTTAGTGTGCTTCCTTCTAACCCTGCAGAAGCATATGCTGATTCTCACTACACGTTTAAGCAAATACATGCTATGAAAACCCGAATAACGTAACCATTATTCTGACTTGTGTGGATTTTTCACATATGAATAAAGGCAAGGGCGCTCCTGAGTAGTCATCCTGTGTGTGTGTGTGTGTGGTGTGTGTGTTGTGTGTGTGATGTGTTGTGTGTGTGTGTGTGTGCTTGTGTATGCGTATCGTGCGTGCGTGCGTGCATGCAAGCATACAGCTGTATTATATACAGTGGAAACCCCGATAATACGCACCCCGATTTAACGCGAATTCGGATATAACACGCGTGAGTCGTTGGACCCCCTGTTTTTGCTGTTATATAGCCACGTATATAATATATAACCCCGATTTAGCGCGACCCCGCTTTTTTCGCGATGACATTTTATGGACCCAAACCATCGCGTCATAACGGGGCTACAGTGTATATATATATATATATATATATATATATATATATATATATATATATATATATATACATATTACACTTTAAATGAGCTGATGTTCACACTGGCAGCCATTTGTGGCGAGATACAGTGTTCATGAAATGTGGCAGCACCGCTTACCGGACAACATTGATTCTCAGCGGGCAATATTTGTTTTTTTATTTTCTGGCACGTGAAATGCTTTACACCAACTAAAATGCGCCATTGCCTATGCAGCCATATAACAAATATATGAATTGTATTTCTCTAAACAGGTGAATCAGGACATATACCTTTGCCAGCATGCCTCGGACTACTCTATGCACTTCCCAACAAAATCTACTACTGATTATGCCGTCATCCCAAACGCCTTTCCGCTGGGCTTTAACCAAATCTCCGTGTGTCTGTGGCTGAGAGTTCCCGCAGATTCCTTCGTGGACTGTCTTACTAAGTATGGATCAGATTGCCCCTACCACTCGGTGTGGACATACCATAGAGATGGCAACTCCAACGAAGAGATGGAATATACAGTCTACCCAGACGGTTGTATGAGGTTCTACATGTGGGGTTCTGAAAGCATTCGAGCGTAAGTACCAGCCAGTCCATTTCAAAGTAGATTTGTTTACATATGTCAACATCAATAGCACGCATACATATCCTATCAGGTGAAGAGGTTTCGCAGTAGCCAAACTTGTTTAAAAATGATGATTGTATTCATTATTGAGTCATGCTATATTTATCATCGAACATAATATTGATGATCGTTTAAACTTTCTATTTCATAGCAAAGTTTGCGACTATTTAATCACCGATGGCAACTGGCACTTTGTATGCACAACCTACAACAGTCTGACTGGAGCTCACCAAATCTTCTTGGATGACCAACCGAAATACACTGGCACTTCCTCACGACTTGTAAGCTACATCGCTGACACAGGGGCTAACTTCATAATAGGACAGGATGTTGACTATACACAAACGGACTTCAACGAAACACAAGCATTTGTGGGGGATTTAGCTGACCTGAACGTGTACCATCGTATCCTGACTGATGCTGAGGTTGCAACAATCAGAACCTCTTGTCTTTCTAATGGCGGCTCTGCCATAAAGTGGCTTGACTTCAAGACCACAATAGCTGGAGGTGTATCGCTGGACATGCCATCTAACTGCACACCGTGAGGCAATGAGATAGGTTACTAGAATGCAAATATACTCTGACCTTTCTGTATTTGTGAGATTTTAAATTTAACCGTATTTTTCAGGTAAATGATATAATGGTGTTCATCACCTCTTTGACTAGATTGCGGTAAACGGGCGTTGCAGCAAAAAATTGCAGTAATACCAAACTGCCGTATATATAACCATACGCGGTATTCAGTAATACCAGTCATTGGCTTTTTGTAGAATTGGCCAGCGTAGTAAGACCATATGGTAACGTGACGTCATACATCAATCATAAAATATGTAATAAAACCTATCATAATAAAATCGTGATAAATGAACGCCCGGTGTTTTTATATAGATGTCGTGCAACGCGCGTAAATGTGTTACGTCACCCAGGGGCGAAAATCCAGGGGGGGCAGGGGGACATTTCCCCCCCCCCACGAATTTTCAGAGGGGGGACATCATATCAAATGTCCCCCCACGATTTTTGGATTCACCATGATTTTGCATGTCGTAATGCTGTGGCTGTGTGTGTGTGTGTGCTGGTGTTGGTGTCGGTTTGATGTGTGTTGTGTGTGTGTGTGTGGTTGTTGTTGTTTGGAACAGTGGAGAACCGTTATACATTGTGTGTCGATAGTGCGTCAGCACATTGCTTCTTGTCTCCTTTTTTTGGCCAGCTTTCATTTCATTCAAAGTGCATTGTGAGAGCATCAATGAATGATCAATGCACAACTTAAGAACAAATGTGTCTAATAAATGTAGTACCGTTTCTTTATTTAACACGTTTTTTATTTCCTTATATAAAAATTATGTGCTTATGCAGAAATCATCAAGAGAATAGTATGTTTATGAAACGTTTAGGAGATATCGACTCACATTAGACACTGATTCCAGAATTAAGCTGGGAACACGAGCTATATTCACGCAAGAGGACACTAGAGTAACTCGTGCATTCGGTTTTAATAAAGGTTAATTTTCATTGCAAATTGATGATATACTATACAACGCATATAGGATATGACGGACCAAACCAATAATAACGACCAATTATTGTGTGCGATCAGCCTCAACGCCAAATGATTGCGTTTTCTGCTTTCTTGTTTTCTTGGACTGGCATGTGGACACCACTTTCCGCTAATCTTTATCACAAACACAAATGCATGTGTGTGTGTGTGGTGTGTGTTTGTGACTGGTGTGGTGTGTTGTGTGTGTGTGTGTGTCGTGTGTGTGTGTGTGTTGTGTCTGCGCAAGCTGGTGGTCGTTATATTCTTGTGGTCCGGTATAGCCGTGAGCGCCGGTCGTGCATTGGGCGTGTACCAGAGGGGGGCGGCGGTCGTTCCAGGGGTTGTTCCGGACCCCCCCCCTCGCTCGCGCAGGAAAACGCATTCTGTAGGGGGGCTAATTTCAAAAAAATCCTAGACCCCCCACCCCTTCGCGTGCTCGCTACTGGTGTCCCCCCACATTTCAAAATGGATTTACGCGCCTGATGACTCCCGTAGATAGTGCATCATTATTGATTGTTGCCTCGTGCCCTCGCTAGACCAACCCACCAGTGAGAATAGTGCAGTGACCGAAGCTGAAAAGGGGCTCTATTTAAGGAGATATCCCTACCGGAGGTATAACAAGCTGGGACTGGTCTCATTTTAACCGTCTGGATCCCTAGTTTATGAAAAGACATGTTGTAGTTGCAGCAACCTTGTACAACATGCCAAATTAACCTTTTGTTTACGGTAACATCTGAAAAAATGACATTTTCAGTTACTTGCTTATTTTATGAAATCAGCCCCATTATATTTTATAATTGATCGTTATATCAATGTATTTCATTGAAATAGATATGTAGCAATGTATTTGAGGCAGTTTTATGCTGCTAAGGGGGTTAAGGGGCCAAAATTATACCCCAAAACTGGATTTTTTTTGCGATTTTGACCAAAATAATATATATTTTCTTGCACTATTCCACCAATACATGTTATCACTGTGTCAGATCTGACTGTATTCATGGGCCTAGATGTGCTATTGATAAAAAAAATCAGTTTCAGCATGGTAAACGGGTACAACATGGTACATTAACCCCTTGTTTACGGTAACATCTGAAAAAATGGCATTTTCAGTTACTTGCTTATTTTATGAAATCAGCCCCATTATATTTTATAATTAATGGTATTGGTTAATATAAGAAAGTTGCTGCACTGAACATCGAGATCAATAAATCCGGTGAATGTGAATTTACCAGTGAAGATGGAAGTGATGTGGATCCGGATAGTGTCGTCCTTCATCGAGCTGCTGGTATCATTCGCAGTGCAATGTCAGGGATAACCTTTCAAACTAGCCACTATGCTCCAAGCGGAGACTTGAATGTACGACAATGTAAGAACTTTGTTCCAGAGACATTGTACGATTTCATAGCATGGTGCACCTCGAAGGAATCCTTTGACAATGTTAGACACTGTGACTCAAGTGATGCTGACATGCGAGTGCTTGGTATCTGTCACAGTATCATTTCTCAGTCCTGTAAGACGCAAACACCCATTACATTTGGCCTTGGTGTTCAAATGTACCATGACCATGGGAGTAAGGAGCTTATAGACGTTCTCAGTACAGTGGGATATTCCATAAACTATAATGACGTGAGAAAGTTCTTAACATCAGTAGCTCTTGATCAACTTTCAGTACCATCTGAAGTGCAGGTTCCTCGTGGGATTTCACAGTTTGATCCTAGAAACCTTGAATCAGTCGTTGATGCTGCCATCGACAACTTTGATCATGAGGAGACAGTTGATGGGAAACGCACTACACATGCCATGGCTGTTGTGTTGTACCAACGATCTCCACTCAGTCATGATATGTCCGTGATTCCTTGTGCAAAGCAGAAATCCTTGGACACTGAGCAGTACAAGGAACAACAACTCCAAGGCTACCGCAGGTCTGCAAAGAAGCCATAGCCCACTGTAACCTATCAAGTGGAGGATGAAACGTCAGATAAGGTCATAATGAAAGATTTCATATGGCAAGTGGCAAGGACCTGTGGAGACGGTGAATCTAGCATTCCTGCATGGAGTGGATTCAACGCCCTCGTCAGTACCAAGACTGTCCCCGTTACTACGATATGATATCTACCCTTCATCAATGCCTCACCATCTGACTTGTCAACCATTTTTACTTTTGTTGAGTGCTAGTGCACATATCTGAGGAGTTGGGGCAGCATCACATACTCATTACAGCAGACCTTGCCATCTACAGCAAGGCACAGCAGATTCTGTGGAGCAGACCGGAACCACTGGTGGGCAAAGTAACGATGAGGCTGGGAGGAATGCATCTGATAATGGCTTTCCTGGCGAGCCTTTGCAAGATATTCGGAGATGGTGGATTTACGAACATCCTAACTTCATCAGATGTATACGCAGCTGCCACGGTTAACCAAATGCTCCAAGGAAAGCAGTATGCCCGTGGAATCAGAGGTGTCCGTCTTGCACACGAAGCACTGTCACAGATGTTCCTCACTTCAGCTGAATCCTTTGCCAACAAGAACGGATTGCCATGGCTGACCAATGAAACCAAGCAGCTAGTACGTGATCTTGAGCAGTCCTTCGAATCCAAAGATGCAAGTGAATGTGCTACCATTTGCCAGAAAATCGAGGACACAATTTCCCAGTCCGTCTTGGATACGATCACTCTCCCTCAAAACGAAGGACGACAGCACTCGGCAACTTTTGCTTATTGGGATAGCTTTCTCGAGTCTGGGAACATATTACTTCGACTGTAGCTTATACTTACCATTTTACTTCGTATTAGCTCGAGTCAAACTGTCCAGATGCTCTAGCAGAGCTGCCAGAAACACCAACGTCCACTTAATCCACATATATCATCGATGGCATGGCCATGGTACAGTCACTGAATGAGAATCACTTCACCACGTTCAAGGATTTGGCGGAAGTGGTACAGAAACGTACAGTTAGACTTCCCCAAAACCCATCCTTGGATTTGACGTCTGTGACCATTGTGTTCGATCGGTATAATAACGTGTCATCCATCAAGACCACAGAACGCGAGCGGTGGGGTTATTCAAGTTTGTTACCTACTTATAAGATACAGAGGAGCAGAGAAGTACCTAACTACAGAAGGTTTGTCAAGGGAGTCGGAAACAAGGCAAGCCTTACGAATTACATCTCACAGTATATCTTGGAGAATGCACGAATTCCTGTTCATACAATTGTGAATAAACTTGGCCCACCAATATGCGAGTGTCTCCCTGCTGCTCATGCCCTCACAGGATGCAACACCACATGTTCAACGAACAGGATAGGAAAGAAAACGACGTACTCGAAACTGATGAAACATGCGTACAGACTGACAAACCTCAAGTCATTCCATGAAGACGACATAAAGGAGAGCATTATGGTAGCTCGTAGCTACACACTACTCCTCTAAGGAAAGAAGGAAATGGACACACTTGATGAGTTGCGGTACATCATGGCTACAATGACAGACAAGTATGCATCCATGCTTCCTCCAACAGAAGATGCCTTCCAACAACATGTCCTGCGCGCAAAGTACCAAACACGGATTTGGTGCAGGAGCAGTGAAAAAAATACACGGGGGCTCGGGGCGATTTAGCCCCCGAAATGCCAAATAGAGCCCCGGAAATGACAAAAAGAGCCCCTGTAAATGTGCATGGAGTTCAATGCAAACCAAATTTTAGAGTGCTATTTTCATGCACGCGAGTTTGAAAAGTAGCCCTAGAAAAATTAATTTTAATTTTTTCCCTGTGCAGGAGTCACATCCCCAACCAAGAGTTGATCAAACCGGTTGGCCATGGTTGGTCCGCTTGTGATGATGGAGGCATAACACAGACGATGTTCACTCAGCCATCAGCTCCAGTTGAAGTTCGAGACCTGACACATTTCTACTGCACAGACAAAGACTGCTTGAGTGCGAGGAAATGTCCTTGTCTCCTTGCTGGACTAGAGTGCATCGATGCTTGTTCATGTACTGAGTGAAAATCAGAACACCATACCAGAAAAAGAAAGTGGCACATGATTTCTGTTGAAAATGGCTATTGACGTCATGGCCCACAGTGTTATGTAACCATTTAGCATTGTTGTAAACAGGGTTCATGTACCATGTTGTACTCAGCCTTCACCATGCTTCAACTGATTTTTATATCAATGATACACCCAGACTGATGGATAGGCCTTCAGTCAGGTAGACCTATGATACTGTTGTACCATGTATTGGAGGCAGTATGCATGGAAACGTTCTTTATTACGGTCAAAATTATCAAAAATTGCCAGATTTTTTGGTATATTTTTGGCCCCTTAACAGCATAGAACTGCCTAAAATGCGTTGCTTCATCTATATTTCAATCAAAAACAATAACCATATATAACCATCAGTTCTAAACATCTGCATGGCTGATCTGATAAAATAGTTTTTGCAATTCGAATTACAACGTGTCGAAAGAATTAATGACGTGTTGTAATTCAAATTGCCACATGTCGAAAGAGTTAATGACCTGTTGTAATTCGAATTGCAACGTGTCGGAAATATTATCGACGTGTTGTAATTAAATAACGACACGTGGCAATTCGAATTACCACGTGTCGGGTGGTTGCGTTTATGACGGGTTCCTGTTTCCATAGATATTCAGAGCATATGCAATACTAGTACGTCATAAGACGGTACTGTAATATGTGTACTTCATACTGATCTGCGTTCGCTCTAAAGACGCGAATTCAAATTTACGTATTTCAATTGGAACTGCCGCTTCAAGTTACTGCTGCAGAGTTATTGCTGGTGTTGAGAAGGCGCGAACATAACGCTGCAGCCGTGGTATCTGCCTTGTTCGGTGGCCAGGCTTGCAACACCCATACGGTGACGTGTGTAAGGAAAGACTGCTCCCATAAGCTGCGTTTGGTAGAGGTGGTTGTTATTTATCAAGTGTATGTGGAGGATAGTGTGGGGGATTTAGCTGACCTGAACGTGTACCATCGTATCCTGACTGATGCTGAGGTTGCAACAATCAGAACCTCTTGTCTTTCTAATGGCACCTTGCCATAAAGTGGCTTGACTTTAAGACCACAATAGCTGGAGGTGTATCGCTGGACATGCCATCTAACTGCACACCGTGAGGCAATGAGCTAGGTTACTAGAATGCAAATATACTCTGACGTTTACAGAGAATAATAGAATACGAATTCCAGGCCTGTGATTGAACCCTTACAACAAAGTAGGGCAAAAGTAGGGCTAGTAATGTCAGAAAAGTTGTGAAAAAAGTAGGGGAAAGTAGGGAAACCAGGGAATAAGTAGGGCAGTCTAGAGTTTATTATATATGCTGAAATATATAAATATGAGTCGGTGGGGATACTATTGTTTCATGTCTGTCCAGCCGCCGCTGCCGCAGACACTTTCCCTTCCGCTCTTTAACTCGACCCCTAATTGACCTAGCGTGACCAAACATGGTCTACATACACATCTTTGGGAGAAGGTGTGTCGCGTACCGAAACCAGGTCACTGCAACCTTTATTTGACATTGACCTTGACCTTCTCCCTTCACAATATTTCCCTTCCGCTCTATAACTCGTGCCCCTAATTTACCTAGCACAATACAAACCCTCGTTATACTTACGGACATGCTTGGGGAGAAGGTGGGTCACGGTACCAAACCGCCAAGGCATCATTGCACACATCAGGCATAGTTTGTGCGTAACAAACTTTGTCTTTGTGACTTAGATTTGCAAGCGCTCTTACACGGTACCTTCTACGTCCTGTACCAGAGATATTTCATTCATACTTAGATCACGGGGGATAGAGTTAGTTGGCGACAGCTGCCCTTTCGTGAGATGATCTAATGTAGCCCGCTCTTACACAATGGCGTGGACCGTGTGCATTTTGTATCGGTGGTAGAGTATTTAAAAACCTCAAAAGAAAATAGGTGGAAAAGCGTAGCGCGAAGAAATAAAAAAGTAGTGAGAAAAAAGTAGGAAAATAGGAAGAACATCAAAAAGGTAGTGAAAACGTAGGAAAATAGGGATCAATCACGAGGACCTGGAGTCCCCATATGTTGAGAATGACGCCCACTGGGTACGAGTGGGAAAGTGATCAAGCACTACGATGGTGGGACAAGACTTGTTTAGATTATAGAGCAAAGCTTACATTAGAGACAAGAGCCGCAGAAGCGTGCTGGGCTAATCTGGGGTCCTGTTGCTAGCGGTTATGAACGTTACAATTTGAGGTCGTCGTAGTGACACATTGTTAGGCGCCAGATATGCGAGATACGCAGTTTGCGGTTACACATCATGTTAGAACGACTCACTATCCCCCCCATGCTATTTGTCGGTTTATTTATTAATGATGCTTGCCTTTTACTACGAATTGTGTCCATAGATTCCACAGCTATCTATTTTTATCTTATATCTATAAAAAATTCAACATATGAAGCATTGGATCTCCAAGTATAATTAGAGGGCGGGAGTCCTTCTTCCCACCATCCCCCACTGCGTCCCACCTTCCTCCCTCCTCCCTCCCTCCTCCACTGTCACCCCCTTGCTCTCACTTCCACTCCTTACCTCCTCTTCCGGTGGCCCCCCCTGCACTTCGAACTCCCTCCCCTGCTCCCCACCTCCCATCCCCTTTGGCACACCATACGTCGCCACGACCTAATTAGTAATCCCAGTTTCCCGCCTCGCATACACCCCGTATCAAACCGTTTTCGGCTGTCCCGTCTCAATTACTACTTCTCTCCTCTCTTTTATCTTAGACTTTCTCATCTCTCTCTTCTCTCTCCTTATTATATATAAAAAATTTAAAACCCTCAGCGATGTCCATCTTCTATGCCCCTGCAATAATACTTCTGTTTCCTATGGCCACTGAGGTGTAACAGTTATAGAAACATAATATATAGCTGTCTGCTAATATTCCTATGGTAACTAGTTACTGTCGCTAACTGGTAAAATGGAACTCAGCGGCACATAGCTACATGAATAATGTGTAAGATTTAAGAATGAAAAGTAAATAATTATATATTATATATGTACTAATTATCTATCTAATTCGTTTAACAAAGTTACATGAGAATAAAAGTCTAATTAAACTAGGCTATACGTGCCAGCGAAGATGGCGCGTGCAGTGTAAATCAATAATCAAAGATTATTCATGAAATCCTACAGTAGGTACAGGCTAAAATTCCAAGTAAGTATATTCAGGCAGTGGATAATTTCGCATCAGCTGAGTGACGTATAACAACGTGCAATTGCCAGGTTGTTCAGGCAACAATTTATGATTAGGAAGCGTGCCCTGTGTTTTTTGCTCATGCGAGCATTCACTGAATTCATTCATTCAGCCTTCCAGCCCAGGGGCAGGGTGCATAGACAGACTGCTTCTAGAAAATTGATATATTAAGGCAGCGTAAACCTTTGTTCAACAACATTTGCCTTTGCCAATTAATACGTTGTCAAACTGTAACCTCACATTGACACAGGTATGGAGCCTCTAATAATAGCAAAAGCAGTCCAGTCCCTTTGGTTACAGTCAACAAACAATGTTAACCTCCTCTTGAGGGTCCAAAAGCTGTTATCCGACACTTATCTTCGCCATGTCAGCTGGAAAGCATATTTCTGTCTTTTTCACAATAAAGTCCAATAAAAATCTTAGGTCACCGCTGAACACAAAACGTTTTCAATCAGCTCCGTCAGGACTATGTCCTCAAAATGTCCTAAAAATCTCCCTGTGCCATTGACGCTCTTGAGCTCTGTGACCTTCCAATTTCGGCACAGTGATGGCTTTCCTACCATTGGCTGCTATACACCGACGTGATCACTAGCCTAGGTCGAGCCCGTTTAAGATTTGTGCGCGACAATTCTGCATCCTTCCCTATACACTTAAGTTACAGGAGTAATGTTCCCCCTTCCTTTTACACCTCTTGACCTTTGACCTTTGCAAGCCCCCAGCTTCCGACTCCCAACTCGTTTTTCGGGCATTACCCCCCCACGTCCCGATATATCGTGACCGTACGTCGAGCGGTTAAGATTTGGTGACCCAACTGTGGTCGGTGACGCGGACGGACGTGTCTCTGTACGCTCGGCACGGACGCACGGACCGTATCATGTGCGATTTCTACGATAGCTGCATCTGACCTATGTCAGATGAGCTAAAAACCCTTCGCTACAGTGCCGAGGGGAGCCGGATGTCGAACAAAACATCACACGCAGAGCGAACCGTCGCTCCCGTTAAGTCAACAACCCTCAACTACTGCCTTCCTATCAATAAAAAAAAGACAAGTGTCTTTTCTCGCCCATCAGATCAGGGAGCTAGGATACCCAGTAGTGTGTTGGGACGACTGAATATTTGGTATAGCAACTGGGACAAACTCCCTGCTTGTCAAGTTATGTACAAATGAAAGCTGGACAGCAGCAGGGAACAGATGTATGCGTCCCACGTTAGCTGCTTTTGCTGGCTGTTTGCCATTGCGTCGAGCTGTGAAAGCAACAGCGGAGTAAAGGAAGAGTACCTTTACTCGTGTAACGCATCCGATCACGGCCATTACTAGCACGCTCATATCTCCTAAGAGCTGCGAGCCATGGTTCGCTGCACTGTTCAAGTGCAATGGAATGGAAGCTGTGAGCTTCAAGCACATGCAAGCAGACGAGACACGGCTACTACATCGTCAGCTGCCTCTTCCAACATGCATGAAGCAACAAGACGTGAGCCCTACAGCTGCTATGATGCCTACGGATTTCTTCTGCTCGATACTGGGCGGAACAAGGTAAGACAATCCACGCGCACACTTATATCATGTAGTATGTAAAACATTGAGCATGTTAGATGTGCTTCCTTACTAACCTACTGCAGAAGCACAATGCTGATATCTCACTTATTGTTTAAGCAAATACATGCTATGCAAACTCCCGAATAACGTAACCACTTATTCCTGACTTGAATATTTTTTCATGATATGAATTAAAGCAAGGGCCCTCGAGTAGTGAATGCACGTTGTGTGTGTATGCGTGCGTGCTGTGCGTGCATGCAGCATGGCAGTATATTGTTAAAATACAGTGGAACCCCGAAACTATACGCGCGTCCGCCGATTTAACGCGAATTCGGATATAACGTTGATGGAGATTCGTCTGGACTCCTGTTTGCTTTATATAGCCACGTATATATAACCTCGATTTAGCGCGACCCCCTTATTTTTTCCGCGAATGACATTTTGTGGACCGCCAACCATCGCGTCGATATCGGGTCTACAGTAATATAAATATATATATATTATATATATAATATATATGAACATTTTACCCTGTTCAAAATGAG